CTTCTCTATTTTAACAGCATGTCATGTATGTCTTTCTCAATATGTATTTTGTCTGTGTTTTCACTCAATATTTCTTTTGTAACTCAGGTGTTAAAGAGGTAGATCAAGTGTTGCAGATATTATTGACCACAAATATGTTTGTGGGAGGGTTTCTTGGCTTCTTCCTTGATAACACAATTCCAGGTGAGCTGAAATTGAAGGTTGTTATTGACACAAGTTCTACAATCCAATTAATGTGAATGTAAACTGTTATTATAAAAAAGGTGGGGTCTAATTGTCTTTATAATACCACGATCTCAGGGACCAAACGTGAGCGTGGCCTCTTAGCCCAGGATAAAGTACATCTGGGGGACTCTAGCTGCCCCTTGGGAACTGAAGAGGTGTATGACCTTCCGTTTGGCATAGCCTCTTGCCTGTCATCCCAATCTTGGGTCCGTTACATCCCTTTCTGCCCATGGAAGGATAGCAGATCTGAGAAACAGTCGGAGGAAAACAATATGCCACAAGGCCGGGGGAAAGAGCACCTGCAAAACGGAACGGTGGTGTTTGATGAATGTGCTCTATAAGCTCAGATAAAGAGGTGGTGTCATAAAGTGAAATAATAAAAATGTTATCTTTTTACATCACACAAGGGTCAAATACATATTGTTTTGAGGATCTTTGCCCTACTGATGACTGGTCAAACAGGAGATTACAATAAAGTTTACTTTCCTACATGAACCAGAACTGCCAGCAGTGGATTTATTTGTGATGCATCATTCATGTGTTAACCCTTCAATTATGACTATGCAAAAAAAAAAGGAAGTGTGAACTGAAGCTTCCACATTCTGTCAACACCAAATAAAGAAAACTACTTAAATATCACTGTGTTACTATGCTTCACCGTTACTCACATTTCTTCTAAAAACTCATAACCAGTCACACACACACCGACAGAAAACTAGAATAATGCATTCCTCATTCTCCTCTTTCAAAGGAAATGTAATTTAGCCTGTGGATAACTGTATCATTACACAGCCCTATCTTCACACTGATCTAAGCAGCAGCTTAAAAAACCCACAGCAGCAACCCTCTGGCTCTTCTTGAGTAAGCAAAAAAGATAACACATATTTTCAATCGTCCACTTTGCCTTCATCTCTTTTCTCTGTCAATTCATTTCCTCTGCCTCACCAGCGCTGACAGGCAGGGGGGATATGGTTTAATGCTTTGATCTGTGGAGCCATCAGTTTTCCCAGAGGCACAATTGAAACACTGGTCGATGGTTGGGTGTACACTGTAATGTTATTTAAGGATGGTACAAAAGCACGAGTGAACTTGAGCTATAAAAATCAAACCTTTTTTATTTACGTGCCTTACTGGAAACGCATTACAGAATATCATATTTTGAAAGTTATTGTTCTGGAAGGGGATTTTGCGCAGTGATCGTCAATTGGTTTTGTGGAACACTACGCCAGTAATCTGCATTTCAATGAGAAAGGACAACTCAGCAACTCTGTTCATTAGTAAAGGCTTAACATTTACCAGCAACATATTTTTTTATTTTGTCTTTGAGACTTCAGCCTTGAGAAACTGCTTTTATTTTTTTAAATCCACATCATCTCATCATGGCTCTCAGGCACTTTATGAGATCTATAGTAAGCTCTTGAAAGCTTTCAAACACCTAGTTTATCTTTTGGACATAAATATGTATACAAATGGAGTTAGGAGAATGGGGAGAGAGACACACAAAAAAAATAAGAAGTGAGATAATGTGTTTTAGTGACAGGGCCATTTTTTAGACAATGTGAAAGACTGCTCTACACACTCCCGCTGACTCTAAAACAAATAAAAATGTCCAATGAATGCAAACATCAGTATATTTATTTTTAACTGATCTAGCTAATTCATTCATAAGATTGATTTTTATGTGAAATCTGAATATACTGCAGTGGATTCATAATACCTCACTGTCATGTGGCTGGGTTTCAACATTAGCTCATCACAGGAGAATAAATATGATGAAGTACAAATACATGTATAAGAAGGATGAATCCATACTGCTTAAGAGTAACTTTCAAAGTAATGACTTGACATTTTTACACCATGTTGTGCCCACATGTATTATTGATATGATCCTTTTCAGTGCCAGAGTTATGGCTCTGTGCTTTAGGAAACTAGGTGTTATTCACTCACTGAGCTAGTGGGAGTGTGGGAATGAAAATGGTAGATTATTAAAATAATTAGTCAGGTTAAGCCTCAGGTTCTTTCAGTCATCCATAGGAATAAAGTCTGTTCATTTGGGTTAGGGTGGTGGGCATATCTGATACTTCTTTGCTCTGTAAATACTGGATGAATCAGCACACCGTTTTCAAACTGGGTCTGACGAATAAACTCGATCTGAGTGAGAATAGTGCGACTTTTGCTTTGGTACATCTCAAAATATTCACTCTCTAAATCAGGAATAAAACTTCAAAATCTTTATGCTGTATACTATTATTTTATCTCCATAAATTGGTTGTATTGGTGCTATATATATATATTGAGATTCTTAATCCATTGAAGTGCACTAAGCAACTCAATAATTAACTAACTAACTAACTAACTCTGGATGATGCTAACTGGAAGCAAGGTGCAATAAAAAACTATATAAACAGAGATTTAAAAAAAAAGGCCAATCAGTAGCACTGACAATAGTTTATTACAACTATGAATTATTCAAGAAGTACAATTTCATTGTGGTTTGCCACCCTATGTGACACCGATTATAATTCTGTTAATTTAGCTGCAGAATCTGAGGACTGTTACTCCATAATTAACCAGCAACAACGAACATGAAGCAAACAATCTCAAATAAATGAGCATAGCAGATCATGACACTGTAATAAGAGCACTGCTGGGTTCTGAGAAAGAGCCTGAAATATTCATATTAATGCAGTCTTTCTTCACTAATCACAATTTCTATGTTTCCTTTACTCTTTCATCAAGGGCCTCTCCCTCCCCCCCTTATTAATGTGATCTTGAAAAACTTTTTGGATATGAACTAAAATATTGCACACCATCTGACTGGAATTGTTTTCATGCTTAAAACATCCGGACCAGAACAGATTCAGCATGTTCACATGTTCGATGGATAATTATCTCCTACAACTGAGACCTGCCTTATCACAGCGGGATCACATTGGTGCTAATTAAGAAAAGGAAGAAAAGTAATGAAGACAGCCTCGAACAGCTCATCCCAAAATGTAAACTCACGTGATGTTCACTTTACTCATTAGTGCTCTGAAGTGCCTGCCATATCCAACAAAAGAGAATAAGATACTCTATTGATCCCAAACGGGTTGTTATATACTTTACACTGATTGTAAGTTTCAAGTTTGCAGAAAGCTTGCACATTTTCCGGCGCAGACTGAAAACTCATCTCTTTAGACTCCACTTCGAGCAATAGAATTGCTAACAAAGCACTTATATACTAATAAAGGACTGGCTTATCTAAAGCAGTTGAGTAGCACTTGAAATGTTTTAGCTCTATGAAACCTGATGTACTTATATGATTCTGTTTTTTTCAAGTTTGTATCTTGTTGGTGGAACGCACTTATTGTAAGTCGCTTTGGATAAAAGCGTCAGCTAAATGCAATGTAATGTAATGATTGGTTTCCACATTCATATTGGGGACTTATTTCATGTCAGGGAGGAGGAAATGCACTGAAGAACTCTCGACGATGTATTTTCTGGAAAATTGTGATTTTCCCTTGGTTTATTCTGCAATATTGTTCCTCCTTGCCTCTCTGTTGATGTAGTAGGCTCATTTCAACACTGGAGGGTGCTACAGGCTAAACTTTGCTTTTCAGTCTAAACAAGTTGACAGTGTGTAAAGAGGGCCACAGCCCTTCTTCAGCAGTTTGAACTGGTTGGAGGTTGTTTTAGAGTAGGCTACTGTAGGATATGCGATTCGTGAAGGTGAAAAGTGAAGGTGTTGACGCCAGATTAACTCGTCAAGGTTAAAAGGCTACTGATTTCTGTCTGTCCGTGGTACCAGTTAAAACTAAACCTCTTTTTGCTTGGCCCTCCAGCGGGTAACAGCTGATGAACGTTATTGAGTATTGATTTCACTTGTGAAACCGGAAGCTTTCGTGGAAAGGGCCTTACATAAGACTGGACTTTGTTATTGTCTTCCAAATCAGTCCTAGCCTGTGAACCAGATGTGTTTTGTTTTGGTTACAAGCAGGTTACAAGTCAAGAAAACCGGGTTTTTTTTACGTAGCTTTAAAAACATTCCCTCTTACTTGAAAGAACAGCTTTTGTCTCTTATTTTAGAAACTAACATGGAATGACAACGTACTTCATTAATAGACTAAGGCCCTATAATCTTATATAACAATAACTTGTTCGGGTTTTATTGCAAAAAAATTGCCAAAAGTCTACTGCGTGGCTGTAACCTCCATCTGTTCGTGGAGTTGTTTGCGAGGGGACGTTAATGCAGCACAACAGACCCGCCAGGGATCCAGAACAGGGCGGTCTGAGCCAGCTCCGTCAAGGGGCCAGCGGAAGCCTGAACGCACCACGTCATGTGGAGATGATACATACAAAATAAAAGTTATAAATACCAGCGTGTCTCTTTCTAGGAAAATACATGATTAAGGTTATTGTTTGACAGGTTTTAATGTTGTTACGGACTTATTTTCCTATGGTCCTATGCTTGAATCTGAACTCCATGCTATGTTCCTTTTAAATATTTAAATATAAGAAATAAATAAATCCTCTTTAAATATGTATATAGAGATGGGAAACAGAGGAACCCTTGAGAACAAGCAGATCAGATTTCTTTGAAGCATACGCTGCAATTGTTTGTATTGAAAACATATTGGATTCCCCCTAGTGTTTTATTATTAATACATTAAGTAAGTTGTGTAATATTTTAACATCGAGGAATTCAATGTTTTATTTTGAAAGTACTCGCCGGATGATCCGTTTGTCATTTTGGCGAACTTGGCGCTTGATATACTGTTTGCAACCCTGCAGATAACCATTGTGTAAGCGGCTCCGTCGGCGCCAGGTTTCTGCTGTCAGGCTCTTGGTGGTATTTAATCTATATTGCTCTCTATCGCTCTCACTTCTTTTTGTACTCGAATTTTTTTCATCGTTATGGTCCAGCTTTGACGTTAAATCGCTAGCTCTGACACAGCTGGCCAGGTATGCTTATGCTTTCACGTAGACTTCTTGGGGGATAGGCGATCCTGCTTCAACGGGGATCCCCCATCTTAAGCAGCCCGAAGATACATTTTTCTGCCAACATCAAGAAGGTAACCATATTTGTCATCATCCGTATGTTTGCTAATATTCTTTCAACTGACTGGTAACTAACATGTTAGCTAACGTTAGCTACTTTACTTGAGTCAGCTACCAGTAAGAGGAAGATACTACTCAATTGATTTTTTTAAAACAGCTTATCTTAACAGCCAGAAGTCACATTTGGTAGAGTGAAACTCAGCAACGCCTAAAGTGTGTTATTGACCTATTAAAATAAGAAGGTTTTTAAAGTTTGTTCTTTTTTACAGCTTGTTTCTGCCCCCAGTATTCTCTGTGCCTGTGGTCAGCTATGGAGACCACTCAGGTAACGGTGGCTGTCAGAGGAGAAACATCTCCAGGTAAGTGTTCAACTACACTGCAGACAACTAAATATAAAGACACTTGTAACATTATCTTAGACCTTCATGTAGAACATGCTATGTGATCACATGATGATCTATTTTGAAGTGTAGCTATGCCAACATATTGAACTTTGTTTCCCTAAATCTTGTTGTTATGTGTATAAGAACACTTTTTTTAGTACAATTCCTGGAAGTTAATATTCAGTATTTACCAAGTTTGTAGAATGTGTAGAATGTAACATGTGAGATGATTGTGACCCATGTCAGCATTTAATGATGTTTGCTTCTATATATTGTACAATAAAGAATGTTATCACATCAGGTAAAAAACACAATTTTGTCCATTTCTAGGGGAGGTGATTGCAGTTGTTGGTAGCTGTGAATCCCTGGGAGGCTGGAGCCATGAAAAAGCAGTGATCTTACATCCTCATGGGAATGATGGGTAGGTTAAATTCCAAGTTTAATAAAAAAAACGTCCTTTAAATGATGACAGTTTGTGATTCTCTACTACAAAAGGGTGTTTTTTTTGTCTTTACTATTCTGTCCATTTAAAATACATTTTGTTCCCCTGACAGAAATACTTGGACCACAACAATCACTGTGCCTAAAGGAGTTGTCACCAAGTACCGCTATCTCAAAGGTTTCTTCCTTGAGTCAAAGGTGAATGCAGTCTCCTGTCTGTATAGTTATAGCTCTAAGAATAAGTGATTGATATGCTTGTTGACTTTCAAAGATTATCCTTTGAAAGCAGTATTGGCTAAAGATGAATATTGTGGAATTCAATGCCAACGCTAATTCATATTAATTTATGCATGATTTGTGATGATGGATTTATGTCAATTCATTCGTTTTCTTGCCACAGCTCATCAGCAGGAAGGGGGACAACAGGTTCTATTAGTTTATTCAATACACTTTAAAATAGTTTTTGGGAAAAATAATATGTTTTATTCCTTAAAGGTCCCATGTCATGGCCATTTCTACTGATCATAATTCCATTGTTGAGGTAATACTAAAATAAATGTATATTGTGCAATTTTCCAAACTCACATTGTTTTCTCATACAGCATCTCTGTATAGTATGTGTATTCACTCTCTGTCCTAAACAGCTTGTTGGAGCTCCTGCCCCCCCCCTCCATAAACATAACGGCTCTGCGGACGTAACGTAACGGCTCTGCGGATTGGTCCATTTGGACCAATGAGTCCATTTGGGTATGGGCACGTCACTGTACCCAGGAAGAAAAAGAGAAATCTCCAACGAGGCGTTCTGGGGCAGCATAGACAGGTCTTTTCTGTGTTAGAGTTTTACTCGCTACAGGGTGTACTTTGAGGGTTTGTGACTCTGCAGACCGTTTACATGCAGAAAAACCTTCATAACAAACAAGGGGATGGGTATAACCGGAAAAGCATGACATGGGACCTTTAAGACCAGTTTTGTAGAATAGGCAGGCTCTGTATACACTACAGTAGAAACAAGAGGGACCATATTTCCCCGGGAAGGAAAGAGATAGAAAATGTGTCAGACATTTACCTTATATATATATATATATATATATA